GTCACCAACGACCCCATGTTCCTTGTAGCTCAGATTTCCCTTGCTTTTCCCCTAGCATGTGACAATGCAGAGAGCATTCTCCTTCTAGAATTCTCTCTCCCATGGCCTTTTCGGATTCTGTCCTCTCTGGGGTCTTTCCCTAACTCTGTTCATTTCTCTGTTCCCGTTCGTCTTTCTTTCTCCGAAACGTAGCATCCGTTGAGATGTCACGTTACTTTGCATTTTCTCTGCCTCCAGTAATTCCTCCTCCTCCATCGTTTTAGCTCCCGTGGGGACGCAGATGACCACAAACTCTACATCATTCTTGAACTCCAGTTGCGTTTCCTGTTGCTGCCTGGTTATGTTCGTCATGGATGTGTTTCCATCAAATGATCAAACTCTGACTCCTGAGTTTATTTCCCCCCTATGGTTCTTCCTGCGTCTTCCCATTACGTTTAATGGCATCACCATGGTCTACAGTATGTACTGTCATCTTCAATTTCCCTGTGTTCTTAACCTGTGGATTTCTCTGTCTGGATCCCCCTTCATTCCCTTCTTTAGGCTTTTCCTTCTGTTGTGATGATTTGTTTCCTCATTGTCTCCTGGAAAAGTCTACCGGACTCTATTTACATGAGCACTTCTTTGAATCTGTCCTAAACTCTTCAGCCAGGGGAACCTTCATAAACTCCTCGCTTTTATCGTATCAGTACCAGGAAAAGCACCCAAACTCCTCGCTTTTATCGTATCAGTACCAGGAAAAGCACCCGTCTCCAAGGAAATGGTGTATGAATGAGTAAACACCTGCCGAAAATCTTTACCAATTTTGCACCGTCTCTCTCAAATGCTCCATGTTCTGAGACAACTTCCCAATCTCCCGAGTCGAAGGTATCTATTCCATCTTCTAGGTACCTATTGTTTTCTTTTATCCTTCCTCCTATGTCCCCATGGTGTTGATCTGATCTGTAATATGTCAACATCTTAATGTAGATACCATTAAGTTGCCTTTGAATGAATTACCTCTGACTCACCCGCGGTGTTTCCAGTAACAAGCCTTTACTAGATGCTTACCGAAGTACGCACTCACGATAAAATACAGCAGCAACATAGTTGTGGCACTTTAACAACTCCGTGTTGCAGCCAACCAGTTTGTAATCTGTTGTTTCTAAGCAAAATTTTTGAAATGCATTGAATTCTGAATGACCTACGCTGACAGAACTGAAAAATAATGCGTGCAGACTTTAGCCTCCTGCAGTTCATTGTTGTGGTATAATCCTTGGTTTTAGGGGGTCTCCCTGATCTTTAAATAATAATATTGTGGAAGCAAAGTGGTAGAATAAACTCCCTGATTTTAATAACATTAGAAATTCTCTAGCATGTACATGGTGACCGATAAATCATCCTTTTTATTGAGGATTTACTCTGTGCTGGGCACTGCTTTACATAATTAACATGTAGTCTTTCTTTTTTCGTCCTCATAAGAACCCTATCAAATCGGCCCCCTTTATTTAGAAACTGGGGAATGAAGGCGCAGACGTGATGTGATTGACTCAAGCTCATCCAGGTAGCGGACGGCACAGCCCAACTTCAAGCCTTGGCATCCAGTTCACTCTTTTCTCCCCTAAATATATGAATAAGCTCCTCACTGAAACATCAGTCAACTGGCTCATCTTATGGCTTCCAGAGAATGTAAGTTTCAAGTTCTCCTCTTCAAGGGTAGAGAGGTGGAGAGAGGGAGGAGCGGGCACGGGTGGGCTTTGGTTGTTTTGCAGCAGACACACCTGGCCTTGTGCCCATCACAGGTCACTGGCATGAGATCTTCACAGAGCACCCGCTGGGCGGTGCTCCAGGCCACGGGAACTTCCTGTCACCAGTCAGGATGACGCAAGCGTTGACGTCACCGTGGTGCACTGAATCAGAAGGACTTGCCTTCGCCGTCATTTTTTTTGTGGTACTCATGGAGCCCCAGGATGTGTCTAGCTCCAGGGACAGGCATGTCTCCCTTCAGTTTCCTTTGAGGCTTATGCCTCCACAAAGACAGACTAGACCTAACAGCTCAAGAAGCCTCGGCCTGTAGCGGCTAGTGGGAGACACCTAGCAACGCAGCCTGAAGCCAGGAGCCTGGGTAGAGGTGTTGTTATTGAAATGCCATTGCTTTTTACTTTTTGAAAACACAAGTGATGTCATGAGGAAGATAAATGAGATGAGGAAAGCCCCCAAGGAAGTAGAAAAATAATGTTAACTAGAGGCCCCAGGGGGATCATTTAGATCCATACACGAAAATGCCTTTTCACAGAGGTCTCTGCACGGGCAGGATTTGCCTGAGGGAGCAGCTGCCCTACCACCAAAGGTGTTCGACTGTGGACAATCTCTTGGGAGAGATATTACAAAAATATATTCTTTGGCCGGAGAGTCACACTAGATGGCTTTTAAATGTTTTACACCTCCGAGAAGCTGTGACTTCAGGTCTTCGATGGCACGCTTGGGTTCCCTCTGTCCGCCCGACCTCGGGCAAATCCTCAGACAAGACAAGCGTGTCTAGTTTCTGTTTTTGCTTTCCCCAGCCCACAACACTGACTCCTCTTTTAATTTTTATTCTCTGGTCCCAAACCATGTATACAAATCATGTCATTTTTCCTAAAGGAGATACAGACTTGTCCTCCATTTCCCATGTCCACTAACCCCCTCAACAATGTACATAAAATAAATAAACCTACAGTCTCATCAGAGAATGGTGTTTTGAACAAGCTAGGTACTCAATGTATGCAAACATCTGAAACACATATAGATGAAATATGGACAGATTATAGATTAGATATATAAAAATGCACAGCGTCCAGTTATAGAGATCATAAAATACAATTTCTTGGAATTTGGGAGTCCTTCTCATTGATGGAAAATTTGAAGCAGCAAAAACTACTTGGATGAGATCTTGGATGAGATTCTTTGAGCCCAACAAGTTTTTCCAGAATGAAAACCAAACAAAACCACAGGCTACAGAATTGCAGCTGAAGACAGGACAAAGGTCTAGGGGATACTTTATTTATTTATTTATTTATTTATTTATTTATTTATTTATTTTTTATCCTCACCCGAGGACATTTTTCCATTTCTTGTACAGATAGAGTGGGAGGGAGAGAGAGAAAGAGAGAGAGAGAGGGAAACATCAATGTGAAAGGGACACATCGAGTGGCTGCCATCCGCACGACCAACCAGGGCCGGGGACAAACTGCAACCGAGGTACGTGCCCTTAGCAGGAACCGAACCCGGGTCTCTCAGGACCGCAGGCGGATGCTCTAACCGCTGAGCCAAACCGGCCAGGGCTAGGGGATACTTTATAGCTAAACAATATGGTGTTACCTCAAAAAGTTAGAAATTGAACTGCCATTTGACCCAGTGATCCCACTTCCAGGAATATAACTAAGAAGCCTGAAACACCAATCAGAAAGAATATACGCAGCCCCATGTTCATAGCAGCACTATTTACAATAGCTCAAATCTGGAAACAGCCCAAGTATCCATCAATAAATGAGTGGATATAAAAGTTGTGGTACATATACACAATGGAATACTATGCAACTGTAAGAAAGAAAGATCTCTTATCCTTTGAAATGACATGGAAGGACCTGAGAGTATCATCCTAAGCAAAACAAGCCAAGCAGAGAAAGACAAATATCACATGATCTCATTTATTTATGGAATATAATGAAAAAACAAGCTGTTGAACAAAATAGGCCCAGAGACATAGAAGTAGGGTACAGACTGACAAACCTCAGAAGAGGGGGATGGAGGGGAGGGACTGAACCACAGAACTTATATGCACGTGTGCATCACCCATGGACATAGGCAACAATGCTGGGGTCAGGGCAGGGGGCGGGGATCAGGAGGAGGGTGTCAATGGGGGGGGGCAGGAAAAACATCTGTAACAAAAATAAATTAATAAAAAAAGTAGAAACTAAAATAAATAAGTAAATACATAGGATTGTCCACTATCTGTCATCCCTGTCGGAGTCTTTTCACCTCACCGCGGGACAGTTCCTTAAAGGGCACCAGGAAACCAAGCCTTGTTGGGCTGCTGGTGGAACAACTGATCTGAAAACAAACCCAGTGCTCTGCAGTTGGGTCACCGAGGTAATAATCCATGCAATCACGTGCGCGTGGGATCCTGTTGTTCTAAGTGAAGCCAACAGAAATGTATGCAAACCACTTCCTACTGTGATCCCACTGGACAAGTCTTTTCTTTTCGTTTTATAAACGTAGGAGATTCTTATTAATGAGCATGCTGCTGCCTATCCAATAAAGGCCAACTATAACCCCAGGGCACCCTGTAACCCCTGGATGTCTGCCTTTGGCTCCCTGGGGTAGGAGTGAGAAGACCTAACCCCACAGAAAGGTCAAGCCTGAGAGATGAGACAGTCTGAGCCTGCCCTGGCCGGTTTGGCTCAGTGGTTAGAGCGTCGGTCTGCGGTCCAGAGATAGTCTGAGCCTTCATAAGAAGCCTCCCGGATACTCGTGACAATTGTCAGGATACCACGAGAACCTATGAGGGTGAATGAGCCTGGAGTTTGTCTGCATCCAATTACACTTATGATAACAGTGCAACTCAGGGCTCCAAGAACCTCTTCTTTATACATTTTTATATATATATAGTGAGAGTGGAATGGGGGATGGGAGAGAGAGAAACATCAATGTGAGAGAGACACATCAATTGGTTGCCTCCTGGGATCAACCTGAGCCCAGGTACAAGCCCTTGACTGGGAATCGAACCCATGACCCTTCGGTGTGTGTGTATATGCTGACGCTCTAACCACTGAGCAAACCAGCCAGGGCTCCTGGGCACCTCTTAAACTTAAGTTTCTTGCTTTGTCTTAAAATGTCAAGGCAAAGAGCAATCGGATTCGGGAGGGAGAGGGAGAAAGCACAGAAGACAAATATTAAGTCCAAACTGGAGAAGGTGTTGCGCTTCGTAGGTGTTCGTTTAAAAATACACGAAGTATTTTTCATGTCTGTTAAAACCGGCTTACCTGCTGCTAACGTCTGTCCTGCTCCCGGAGCACTGGTTACACAGCCAATGGCATTGCAGAGAGAAACAGTAAAGGTGTAGACCCTGTAAGGCTGTAGCCCGCTTACAATCCGGGCCAGCTGTGGAGATTCAGCCATGGCCAACACCTTGGAGGCAAAAAAAGAGTCAGATGCTAGATAATCAGTGTGAAAAATGGAACCTTGGCAGCCAAAGTTCCATGAACGCAAACAGAAGGAATCATCACCAATCGCTCTTAGGAAAAGGCTTTTTTTTTTTTGAAGAATCCCAACAAGCTAGGGTTTAATTGATAATTGTAGCATCGCACTGCTTTATGAGGTGATAATCCAGTTCCCCAGTGGATAAATGAGAAAACCAAGTTACTGCCTCATAAAACAGTGTGGTGGTATGGTTATTGTCACCAGTGGGAGAGATAGAGGATGGTGACATTGTCATTGTTATCATGAGGAAGTCCAATTAAAACCACAGGGCTTGGCCTAGCTAACCCATGCAGCAGTGCCCACATGCTATGATGGAGAAGGTACAGAAAGATGTCATTTCGTTGAAGCCATCTCAGCATTTTCTTTAAAAAAAAAAGGGGGGAGGGAAAAGTGAATCCATTACTGAGCATCCACATGAAGTCAATTCTCAATTATCTTTCTATGTGCAAATAAGCATATCCACATTAGATCAAACTGTTATATTTTTTGAAGTGTTGCCTTTGCCACGCAGTTTCAGATGAAAATAGCAGACTTGAACAAAGGAGATTGAGAGCAACTCTCTAGTCTATAAACCGGTAATTAAATAACTAACACTGAGAATTGGTCCCATCATTAGAACTAGAACTGACCAAAGCATCCGTGTAAATTTGTTTAGTCTATAGATACAAAGACTACTGGAATTGATAGGCGGGAAAAAAGTCATCGAAATGGAGAGTATGACCTCAAGCATGAGTAAGTACAAAACTACCTCTTCTAAAGAATGTTGACATACAGTGATATCAATTTTTTTCATAAATATAAATAAATTCCATAAATATAAAAACTGTAAAGTTTAGTAGTGTGTGGAGTAATTTTCTAGGTGTTTTCCCTTTAGGAGTATAATAAAATTCATTGGGAATATTTGCTTGGGTCTTGGCTTTAAAATTTCATAATCTAGGTGAATAGTTCCAGAAAGCAGCATGGTTAGAACGTAAATCGCAGCATTTATGTAATAGTTTTCAGAAATAATGGTGATTTCAAAGTTTCTAAAAAACCTAGGAATCATTGGAAACTATAGAACCTTTCCCTGCAATTACATTTCGAAATCAGGAAATCAAACTCGGCTACCAACCCTTTATCTCTCTAATTATAAATGGATATGAAGGTGCTGAGGATATACATTTTAATCTTTTTTGCCACGTGACTTAAATTTTTCCAAGTAAAACACACCTTTAAAATGGGATAAAACTTACTTGATATTGCTATAAAAATTCATCCCCTGTAGAACAACCTGGTGTAATTCATGTAGATTTTTGGAAAACAAAATTGTTTTCAGGACAAAATAGATTAAGGTGTTTGTTATGAATTGTCCTGTGCTCGAAGGAGAGTATATTCCAAGTCCAGAAATGCTGTTCCCACCAAGGCTCTGAATGGCATGGGGCGCCCCCTGCAGGAGGCCAGGATGCTGCAGCAGACCGAGGAGGTGTTGCTAGCAGACCAGCAACTTGGGACATGAAGCCTAGCAGATCCCATGCGACTGGAGGTGACTATCCTGGGAGAAGGTGCTGTGAGGCGTTCCTGGCAAGCCCACAATGAGATCATCGCACAGTAGACTCCCTCGGGTGTGGAGCAAGGACAGTCACACAGTGGGAACCACAGCCTACTTGCTAGAGCTCCTGGCATGCTCCTGGGCCTCGGTGAAAGCCACGCATCTGGTCAGGGAACACGCCATGGCCCTGCAGCCAAAGCTACTCCTCACGAGCCGGGTTCGGTGGGACCTGCCAAGTCTTACGGTCAGGTGGGCCCGACAGAAATTCATCACAGAATGGAAGTGGGTATCTGGAAACGGACATACGCAAAAGCAGAAGGCACAATACGCCACACGAGCAGGGAGCCCGGAACCTGTGCCATCCATCATTCTCCTGACTCGATCTCAGCTCATACCTAGACGCCGTGGAGGACTCTTAAAAGCCCAGAGAGAAGAAAAATGTGGTTTGGTTCACAAAGGGAGTGTCTCAGCAAGTGGCGGCAAGTCACAAATGGGTGATGGCTGCCACCTAGCCATGTTTAGGGACAGCCCTAAAATCCAGCAGTGAGAAGGCACCCTCTCCGTGGGCAGAACCTCAGGCAGCATGCCCGGTTATCAATTTTGTGTGCGACGGGGAGGGTTCCCAGGTAGAACGTGTGGGACATACTCCGGGGGCTTGGTTGTGTTGGTCATGGGCGTCGAGGAAAAAGACTGGGAGATGAGGCATCAGGAAGTCTGGGAAAGAGGATTGTGGGTCAGCTAATGGGGTAGGGCATCAACTGTGGAAAATGTCACATTAGTCCCTTTCAAAGAGCATCTCCTTCCGACAACAGCCAACTATGCAGAATGACGTGTCCAGCTGACACCCGCCAGTCTCTGTCACTGAGCGTCCTCATGCTGATCTAGTGGGCTCAAGGAGCACTTGCCCCATCCATAAACTGTACGCCCATGGGCCTTCCATCCCCCAAGTTTGTTTGTATGTGTGTATCCATCACATGAATTAGTCCACGTGAATAATGAAGCCTCAGCAACTGCCGGGATGATTGTTACTCTCATTACTGCTGCCGGAGTATCAAATACTACGAGGCACTATGGTCAACATCTGCCGTAAGCCTTGAGCCTTGTAACCTCTGCTACCAGCTGTGATACATCCCTTTGCTCGGACTTTTTCCTAAGGAAACTGTCATATGCAAAGTGCGCATGTCGATGTTCTTGTCAACGTTCTTATCAATGTTCTTTATACTTCCAAAAAAATTATACAATGTAGATAGCAACTGATTGTGCATTGGTTAAAAACATTATTGTATGTCCAAATAATATGACGGTGCATAGCTGCCAAAAGCCAGCTTCTTGCAAAGTTTTAAAGGATAGATATTAAGTGAGGGGGGGAAGTAGATTTTTGAAACAAAATTATACCAACTTAGTTTAAGTTACAAAAATAGGAGTGCTTTATACATGTCATTACATTGAGAAATACATGCCCCATTTAAGCAACGTATAAAGGAGAATTCTGTCCCCAAATTCTACAAACTCAGAAAATGTCTAATTGAAGACATAATTCAATTCTGAAAGGACATTCATTGAAAATAACAGTACCTGTGAAGATGCCACCCAAACAGATTGTGGAGGTGATTGCTCAGAAATCATGGTGATGTTGTACCCCACAACTCTTCCTCTTATGACGTCATCAGCGGGCTTTTCCCAGCATACATTGAGAGAGTACGGTGAGAGGGGCAAGACTGAAGGGGCGGTCATGAACACAGGTGCTGTCAATGACAACAACAACAGCAGGACAGTAAGTGCTGCACAGACGGGCCTTTCCAGCTGAATCCGCACCTCTTTCACGTTTCTGAAATACTCCGTTTTTTACATAATATTCTGATTTTTACAAAATAAAAATATAATGCTGCATATAAGCATTCTTCTTTTTTTTTTTTTAATATTTTACCTGCAAGAATGTTCTCCAATTTCATATTATCAGCAAAGACATTTTCCATTTACAAAATAACTACCACCAAGGAATTTGATTGCATTCCTAAAGATAACTAGTAGATACTGGATGGGAAACCACAGGTTTGATAAAGCAGTTGAAAAAAAAAAAAAAGTAACAACATGTTTCAGTCCACGAAGTTCAGAACAATATATAGTAACAAACTGGATTTCTTACATTGGAAAGTATTTCACTGAGCCAAACCAATACAGCTGGGAGAACATCATTCTCCAGAAAGAGGTAAGTCTAAAATCTTCTAAATAACCCCAAAGAATTTTTTTTTTTTTTTAGTTTTCAATAAATCTTGATTGAAATATGCAGGGAATATACACACATGCGTTCTCCCCTGCCATCCCTGAGATCTTCATATGGATTTTAAATGTGCTAACCAATGGTGTATTATCAAAGGACCTCGTCACACTTTCATTAGCCAGCAACCCATAAGATGATGAGGGTCCGATATTGCAGTTCACCCATTACTTTTCATTTCTGACCTTGACTTTCCCCTTCCGGAATGCCAGGGCTGTTCACTTGGGCTATCATGGTGCTATTATTTGTCCAAGATGGTTTGCAACCCTCAGAGATGCCCAAGCACAATGCACATTTTATCCATGACATGATTCCTTGGACATCAGCCTACAGCTACCTTTATCCTGCACAGTCCTCCAAGGTCCCAGTTAAGTCAGGACTTGTGTTTCTTTGAAACTCCATGAACTCAAAGCATGACAAACGTGTATTTCTTAATTTTGTTAACGATTCATAAGATTTGAACTGCTTTTCATGTGGAGAGTGAAGTGGAGAATTAAAATATCTCGTTTACCTTAGTAAAGATAGCTTTCAAAACATGAAAAATGCTTACCCTCCTTGTCCGTATTGCCAACTGCGTTCATAAACACCCTTGGGAGTTAAGATTCTGCTTTCCAGGATTCTGTCATTAGGTATAATCTAGTAGCTAACGTATTTGTTTTTGGAAAGAGTCATAAAGACAAAATCAGATTTATGAAGTCTATATGACAGGTATCTCCTGCATTGAACATGAATCGCGCTAAATTTGGACCAAGATGAGAACACAGGGCCTACCCACCTCGGGAGCTGCAAACCAGTGCTACATAACAACCATTCCTAAAAGACAACCACTGCAGTTAAGTGATTTTCCGCCCCGTGAAGTAATAATAAAGCATTGTCCCTCCCTAAAACTTACTGCAAGTTCTTAATGACCTTGGGTTATCAATGGAACCAACCGCAGCATTCCATTTCTCCTTGGCTTATGTACGTTTATAATTCTTACTTGACAAGGTGCTACTGACTTTAGTTTGAGGCAATACTTTCATTCCGGGGGTTTAGAAGTAGCATGGAAGCTCGATCTTCACCTGCTTCTCCTGTTCTTCCTGAAGCCCAGGCAGAGGACACGTTGCCAGCCATGTTCTCAGCCAGGACCCGGAACTCGTACTGGGTGTAAGGCTCCAAGCCAGCGACGGCTGTGGCCATCTGAGGTTTCAGTGCCTTCTCGTTGGCTGATTCTGCAGACGGGCGAGCACTGAGCCAGCCGCTACTCTCAAAAACCCGACTTTCTGCCAACGTGGGTTCTCCATCAGAGCTCGGTCTTTTCATGTATAGTCCGTATCGTATCATTATTCCTGGGGAAATAAAACAGTAAACCAAGATGACTCATCAGATGGACTCTTTTGGGGGTGGGGTGGGATTAAGTCAGTTACAGAGTGTTGCCTTTTGCATTATTCTTCTGATTGGATGACCTCTCCATTTCCTTGGTAATAAAGAGTGTAGGTACTTATAAAAACAGCAAACTGATGGATAGATGAAGGTATGAAATACTACTAAAAAGCACACGCATAGAAAAAAAAAACAAATCAAATGGGAAGGTATACAAACACAAAATAGCTATAATTTATGACAGGCAAATTCATAATACATTTTTCAGGAGGAATGGTCATAATTTCTACTAAGAATAGCTATTTCTTTAAGGGGAATTTTATCAGCAGACTTCCAGTTTGTATACTTTGAATTTGGAGATTTTAATTTGGCTGTCTGTTTAACCTAAGTCCTGTTTGCAGAAATATTAGAATATTATAGTTAATTTCTACCCAGTTTTATCAAGCAATTTAAAAAGCCTAAGAAAAAAGGTTTTGCCATAAGACATACATAATATTAAATTACTAAAAATCTATGAATTAGTGTCTGGCCTATATAACAGGGTTCAATTGTATGAATACAAAAATTAACTTAATGGAGTCCGCTAGCCTATATACACATTTTTTTTTGTATTATTTTACATCCTTTTTTTGCCTAAAAGAGAGAATTTACTGCTTATGGGTGCCCTAACTTTGTGACACAGTCACATATAATGCATTTCGTAAGTGAGTTTCAAATTAGAAACATAATTTGTGTTGTGGCAGATGTCATTAAGAGCAAAGATAATATTAGCCTTTTAAGGGGCAATTTAAATGAATGGAATTTGTTATTAGATTAAAGAAAAACACTTGTTCTACTAACCAGGACAAATAGTACCCTATATCTTTAGAGACTGTTTCGTCATTATTATATCCTGCAGTTATAACAATGTGTATAATTGTCAGACTCTCGATACGCAATGCGAAATTCCTGAGGTCCTCACTCAGGTTTGGCCCAAGAGAGAGTAATGGAGGTCTTGAATTCCTACCATTAGGGTCCATCGGTGGAGCCCATTCTACGTGAAGTTCCGTGGAACTGATCTTCTGTACTACAGGCGGGCCCAGCCCTCGGGGGGGTGCCTGGGCTGTGGTCACTGTTAGGGGTGAGCTATGCAAACAGCCCCCCTCAGTACAGGCCTGCACAGAAAAACGGTACTTGGTGAATGGACCCAGATTCCAGATGGTAGCCGAGGTTTCGGGACCTTCGTAGGGAACACACAGCTGGGTGCCATCTATCGGAGCACAGGACAGAATATATTTCTCTATAGGACCAGACCGATTTGAGGGAGCAGTCCAGGTCAGCGTTACAGAGTCTGAGCCAATAGGAAGGATATAAGTTAAGTTCAGGCTTCCCTCTGGGACCCCTGGCTTTGTCCTGTAGGTGGCGGTAGCACTTCTTGTTGACGCGTGCACATTGGTGGTCTCGATGGAGTAAGAATAGGAGGTATATGGCGACAGGGCGGTGTCAGAGAAGTACTGGGTACCTGAAATTAGAAGAAAAAACAAGAAGAAAATAGTTACATCCCACAAAATTGGCAAGGAATCATTCCTACTTCTTTTTTTTATTATGCCATTTAACTCCATAAACTAGACCAGTCTACTCTTTATGAATGTCCAGCAGAGTCAGGTGCTTCCAGAAGACTAGTTAGGCATCCAGGGTTGTTTTAATTCACAGTCTCCCTTGGTTTTCTGAATGGGCAGGATGCTGTCTTGAGAGCCAATGAGCTTATTATGGGACTTTCTGTGGTGGGTGGGGCCAGATGATACCAGCCTTGGGAGGAGGCCCAGAAGTTGAATGAAGGACATGGAAACTAAATCTCAGAAAGTTCCTAGAAACATAAAGAACCTAAGGGAGGCTGAGACAGGGGGAGTTCACCGGGACCTAACCAGCTGAAAATGAACTTTGAGCTTCATCGGTACCACCTATCAGAAGTTGATGTCATGAGCACGCCAGCAGCTGAGATCTGGCCAGCTACACCTCACCCATGAGCCAGCCATCCTATGAAAGCTTTGCAGAAGCAAAGGGCCAGAGGGAACCTACCTTTCCCTGAACACCATCTTGGTAGTTGGGAGAGGGAATCATTGAAGACTAAACAAGAAGAGTGAATGCCATAGATCAGGTGTTTGTGTCTTCCCCAAACTCATGCGGTAGAAACCTAACACCTACGGTGATCATGTGAAGAGATGGGGCCTTTGGGACATGATTAGGTTAAGAAGGTGAGCCCATAAATGAAATGAATGCCCGTATGAAAAAAGTCCCACAAAGATCTCTCCCATTTTCTATTATGTGAGGACACAGGTAGAAGTCGGCAGTCTGCAACCCAGAAGAGGACCTTCACCAGACCCTGACCATGCTGGTACCCTGACCTTGGACATATAGCCTCTGGGGCTTGAAGTAATAAGTGTCTTCTGTTTATAAGCCACCCAGACTGTGGTCTTGTTCTTTTATAGTAGCCTGAACGGACTAAGTGAACATCTGCGTGAAGGGTAATGTGGCTAATCTTTATATGTCTTCGCAAATTCTGCATGAAAATATGTTGAGTATCACACTAGAGTCCCGACAGGACACGGAAACCACAGAGTAATATTGATTTAGTTATATCCCCCCCCCCCCCAATAATGAGAAATATCCTTTCATCTTTCTATTTCTAGTGACTCATATAGTTCCTGGTCTGGCATAAGCACGGAATAAAAGTTTATTGAATGATGATTTTCCATGCCTACTTGATTTATTTTTCTTGGCAATAATATTAACAGCCTTGTAGAAACAATTGTTGTTTATTCTCTTGTGTGTGTTCTTTCCTTTGACTTCTCTATATTTCTTGTCTGTCTGTCTTTCTCCAAGGGATCTTTTGATCACTTGTTGCATTGATCTTTTGATGTAGTATGGAATAATAAAACATATGATATTAAAGGCAGAAATGAAAATCTAGGTTTCACTAAGATACATTATTATCTGAAACCCTAAACGTAAACTATGTCATTGTCCAAGTGATCATTGTCTAGTTTCCCTGCGAAGCATTTCTCGGGGGGGATATTTAAGGACTATCTCCTTCTTGTGGTATTCCAAACGAGAAACGATCTCACTGATTGTGAATTTGGGGGGACAGGAGCAAAGCATGCTCATTGATTCAGCCCATTGATTCTTCTCTTGTCTTACTGCAGAGGAGAAAGTCTATTCTCCAATCCGGCTTTTATTGTGATCAAGATGATTTTTATTTTTAATCGCCAGCTCCCCGTTCTTGTGCCTAGTTCTTCTTCAGTTTCAAACTTGAGTGAAGAAGCAATCGCGTGACATGTTGGCCACTCCTAAAATGTCAATATTATTAAAATAGTGCAATATCCTATGATAGCTATTCTTGTCACAACTGTGACACAGAAAACATCTATATGCCACCCAGGTCGGGGCTACTGGGGAGATAATGTTAGGTGCTAATTATGCATAATTCCCAATATGCTAACTTGACTTCTATATCTTCCTCTTCTAGTTATGAAAGCTTATGAGTATACAAATGAGGGAAATTTTATTTAGGGGAACCACTGACTATCCCTTAACTTATTTTTTAAAACTTAATTCAGAAATGTTAAAATTATCCCATTATTAGCATGCTATTACTAATAACCAATAATTGATAAGTTCTACAGATGATAGTATACCAGTTGTCATGACCTTATGTTGAAAACGAGTGACCTACAGAATCTGTAGCTCACCAAGCCAGCTAGGAAAAGTTTTCATTCAAATAAGAAATTTTGTAATGGTTTCAACCAAATGATCAGAGTTGCTTAGAAGACAATAGTATTAATTTTCTTTGTAAAGTTCAGTGACTCTCTACCTATTAAAGATATGTGTTCAGCCAACTGGATATAGGTACTGTTTCCTTTTCATATGACACATGTTATGCACACACTGGAAATAGAATAATAAACATGAGGATATTATTAGAATGATACAAAGTTCTGACAGCGTGAACCGATTCTTCTTACTGTTCAAATGCCATCATGCAGATAATTTTCCCATCATTAATTATAGTGACTGTCAAGAAATGCCAGAAGTAGCATTTTTTTTTTTTAAAGTGAAAAGTAAGGTTTTGGGAAATAATACCTAGTATAACAGGATTATATAAATGTCTGATTAGTGAATGAACACATATTTATTATGTAAGAAACCGTTATTTGGATTCTATATTAGCACAATCACGAAAAAGAGCAGGAGCATTTTACTCACATATAATATTCTACAAAACAGATCACAATATGTTACTTTAAAAAATATGCCTCTGGACTGAAGGGTGTAAGCGAAGTTTAATTTCATTGCTGAATTAAGCTGTATGGAAAATTGGGTGACCCCAATTCACTTCTGCAATAATTCAAGCAGTGGTACTGTCATTTTCAAAATCACTTTCAATATTTTTATAACTCTCTCCTCCCCTATCACAAAAGTTTAAGTTTCGGGACACCTGGATCATGCTGATATTTGGAAGAAAATAAGCATTCTAGTAGCAGGATTTTAGGATGCTTTGCCAATGTGGCAGATGTAGACAGATGTTCATTTCCCTTTGCAATCTGCATCGTGAAGTTCAGGGTTCCCATTAACATCCAAGAAGACTTGGAGCATTAAGAGACAGAGTTATCAGAAAGTGCTGGGCATTGTAATGTAGGTGCAAGTCACTCAGAATTAGGTAAAACATGTACCTGGTGATAATAATCACACAATAAAACCATATGCTATGCGAAAGTTTTAAAGCCAATCAGTATGTTAAAAGAAGGCATTCTCTGAACCATTTTGAGGAAGATCATGGAACTTTAGTATTTCTTCATAGCTCTATATACTTTTCTAACTTATTAAACATGTTAAACTAGAATTTGGAAAAGTAGGTATTAAACCAAGAGAACAAAATGGAAACAAATTGGCCTCCCCGTTCCCATGTTTCCTAAATTAGTTTCCTAAACTAACTTGTAACTAAACAAGATTAGGAGCAAATATCAGAGAAGACAGAGTTGGAAGAAAGGAAAAGGTTCTGTTTCTTCCTTGTGTCTTTCGGGAAACTGTATCTAAAACATATGAGTAAATGTTTTCTGAAGACAGTGTGTCTCAACAGCCTGGTTTGTACAAGTGCCTTGAAAATCTTCATAAAAGTCACAGATGTAAAGACAGTGATCATGGTTTGTCCACAAACTCCTTTCAATTTAAAATCATGTTGTGTTCTATCCATTTTCAACCTGAGAATTCTAAAAGTTGAATCCATATAATAAAAATATTTGATCAATTGTCTCTAATCCTTACACCCAGAGAGAAAATTATGCATCAGTTTTTTTACGTCTCTGGTAACTATATTTTTGAATTAAAATATAATTGATAGATTATTTGTAATAACACTAAATTACCTTAAACAACACATCATGAACATTTTCCAGTCATGAATCTATAAAGGAAGATATTTTTAAGGCAATTGTATCTTATAGTTTACTCCACAATGTACCAGGATTCTAGTATGCCAGGTACCATAATTAGTGATTGTTTTGAATGTCTGAATTTTTCTAATATTCTGCTATTACAAAGAGTGAGGTTTTAAACATCTTTTCTGATTGTGTGTTCACTGATGACTATTTAAAATAAATTTCCTGAAATAAATTCGCTGAGTCCAGTGGGATGCCAAAGAGTAACATTTCTCATATTTTAACAATTTCTCTGCATGGAAAGTTGTGCCTACAAGTCCACGTAACTATGCAGCAGTTTATGTAAATCCCAGCCCCGGCACATCCTCATCAATGCTGGCTGGGTCTTTTCTTTAAATCTTTGAGGATTTGATAAGCATGAAGGGCTTATCAAATAAGAGGCATGTCATTTATTGCATTTCTTTGACCACGAGTGAGATGGGCAATTCTCTCTCTGCTTGAAACACTTCGCGCTTGGCAGAGGAAACCACGGTGACATTTATCCTCAGTGTCAGAGAACTCAACTCATGTATCAACCCTCAGCGCATGATATCTTTCCATCACCAGATCTTTAAACTCACGGTATGGGTATTGATCTTCGGTTGTGTAGACTTCAGAACCGTCCCTGAATAAACGGTAAGAAAGCCAGTGGGCATTGGGAGAAGCCGGTGGGCTCCAGGTAAGAGTCATAGCTGAAGAACTCTGAACATGTCCTCTGGGCGGAGGTTGCTGGGATGGAGCTGAATTACAACGGAGAGAGCATTTATTAGCCAAGGTAATCAATAAACTCCCGAGTAAACTGCAGTAAGATACCCAGCAAAGAGGTCTTTCTGATTCAGGATTACTTTATCAAGAAGACAGGTGGTTGACCAAGACATTAATAAACAAAGGGTATATATCATTGCTGTCTGAAACAAAGCTTTCTATCTGTCAGGATAAAATAAATGTGTAGGTCACTGCAGCCAATATAAATATAATTGGGGAGGGGAGACCCAAGAAGTTTACATCAAGCACTTTTTTGAGGATCTATCCAAAGATGCATAACACTCATTTTCTATTTCATTAATTAAGATTTTGACGTCAATAAGATCAAGTGACACTTGAAATTTAAGTAGCGTGATTTGGGGGTTTTTTGAAAAGGAAACTTCCCATTGCTTTAAGTGAATGTCTCATCTTGTGTCACAGAGCCGAGTGTAAAACAGATAATAGTTGGTCTACAAAAATTTGTGGATGTCACGAATGCTAAATAGTCCAAATGTAAGCGAGAAAGAGCTTGGATGGACTATGTGAATACCCTAGCCCCTAACAGAGGGGCTGGGATGGGTGGAGATGATACTGTTGCATCCACCAGGCACCTAAGAGCATCAGTTTCACTAGTTTAGGAACACTTTGGGTTTTTTCCTCACCCGAGGACATTTTTTCCATTTTTTTGTTCAGACAGAGTGGGAGGAAGAGAGAGAGAGAGAGAGAAACATCGACGTGAAAGGGACACATCGAGTGGCTGCCACCCGCATAACCAACCAGGGCCGGGGACAAACTGCAACCGAGGTACGTGCCCTTAGTGGGAACCGAACCCGGGTCTCCCTGGACCGCAGGCCGACGCTCTAACCACTGAGCCAAACCGGCCAGGGCAAGTTTAGGAACATTTTGTATCATATGAATATATACCATGGAAACATTGCCTCATCGCTGTATATTTTCCTTAGTTTCCCTACTTTTGAGAGTAAGCCTTCTTTTTTTCTCCCTACAAACAGAAAGGAGAAGAGCAACGTCTAACTAATTTTTAAGGACACTCCATCACCAGCTGAACCCTCCATCCACTTAGAGAACCGCAACCTAGTCAGACTTTCCCATTAAATGAGATGTCAAAGACACAGGCGGCTGTGTTCCTTGTGTCTTAAAAACACTCATCCTTTAAAGAAAAACTTTAAAAGCCATGTGCAGAAACAAATCCATCAAATAATTATCATCATTTTCATATGAAATACCTGCCATCACTGGGTGACAATCAGGGTATCAGGAGAAAAGAGAGCACATTCAAATCGAGTAATTCAGTAAAGAACTCAACAACAACAACAACAACAACAACAACAACAAAACTATTCTCAAAAGGGTGGGCAGACTACAAGGAAATCCAAAGAAATGGAGCAGCTGAGCTCTTTACAATTTAGTCAGGGTTCTCAGCACCACCTCCAGGGATCTGAACCCACAGACCCGACTCATCATACAGCCCTACTCCTGGTTGATACTGATTCCGGCCAAAGGATACAAAGTACAGTCAACAAAGGGAAAGGATACAAAGTACAGTCAACAAAGGGAAAGGATACAAAGTACAGTCAACAAAGGAAAAGGCACCCGGGTGAGTCCCAGGGAAACCGGCCACGTCCAGTCACCCAGGATGTGCTCAATTCCCCCAGCAATGTGTTGTGAACACCCGCCAGGTGATTCCAACCAGGGGACTTCATTCGAGACTCAGTGCCCAGGGTTTGGATTGGGCACTGTTCTTGTAGAAAGACCCCAAACCCCCAACCCCCAGGAAGGAAGCACGTGTTAAACAAATACCGTTCGGTTAAATACAATTGAAGGCACAATGAGCCACGCTTTTCAGTTTAGGGGGTGGCGGGGACTCTCGTGAAGTCCAAGTTCCCAGAGGCCAGTCAAAGACCAGCTCTGTCAGCAGGTCTTCCTAAAGATGAGCAGTCATGCCACTAGGCTACCTTTCCCGGCACACTGGGTCCAGCTTGATGGGGCTCAGCATCCCAATGGGACAAAAATGTCTGTGTGATCACTTGGCAGGGCCCGGGGACACTCCTATGGTGATGCACCAGCTCAAGGCCCCTTCCACACTGCGCCAGAAAGCTGGGTGTTAAATCTTCTGACCCTTTCCAACAGCCCCCCACATGACTGGCAGGGTCCTGTCAGGAGCTACACCAAAGGCAGCTCAGAAGGACCTGCAGATGCTCACCACACGCAGTCCTGGGAGAGTAAGGTGTGATAACGCGCAGTTCTGCACACCAGGTAAAGACTCTCAACTCAGTGTTGCTACCAATTCATTCGTATGCATGAGTGATACACTCCATTTTAGAAACACGATATAATCTCATAATAACATTTTAAGCAAGCATTAAAGCTTAAATACATAAAATTCCACACCTTATGCCTGAAGACAATGTCCCTCACCCTGTGGTAGATACTAACGATGCCTTTGTGTTACAGAAAAACATTCTCACTCTTCCCCTTTAAATCTTTTTTCCTCCTTTGGAATTTGCACGGTTGTGTTCAAGCTCTAATGGTCCATATGCCTAGTTAGATACAGGACAAGCGTAGGAACGGTCTCAAAAGGACACACAAAAAGAGGATGATTTCCAAACACTTTATATGTTCGAATGCCTGCATTTGCCATATTTATATGGTCACTTTGATTGGTTGAACACTGCCTGTGTCTTTGATCTTGCAGCGAATTTTAATCTAGGGCTCTAAACCCTGTTGTTCTTGGTGGAACCACAAAGATCATAAACTGTCTCGTTTACAGCACTCTCGAAGAGTCTCGCCAGGCATGGCAATCTATTTTATTTTTTTTTTAGTGATTATTAATAACTACATCTAAAACTCTGCATGTTATCAGGGACTCAACAGATTTCAGGGTTAAAGCAATCAGAACTGACCTTCAGACCATTTTCGAAGGCAGAAGAATACTATTAGGGTGACTGAAAGAGAGAGAGACGTTTCCGTCTATGTCAAAGGGTGTTGAAAATGATGCACACTACATGAAGATTTCCTCGGCAACAAACACACGCACACAGATACACACGCAGGCTCTGCCCAACAGATTACATGTTCTGACCATCTCTCCACGGTCTGGTCCGGGCTCACGGGAGAAATGAGCAGCGCCTGTTAGACATTTACATGAGGGTGTTCCTGGCCCTGAAGCTCTCAGGGTCTAATGTGACTGAGGATAGAGATGAAATCCTGGGCATGAGATAACCAAAGCTCGTCCTTTATGTGCTAGAAGCAGATTCCGAGAAAACCATCACAGATTCATTCACCAAAATGGCCAGGAGTGGCCTTTGCGTAGGCCAGGCTCACATTTCGGGAAGGCAAGCATAATCCTGTGACTGCATCCATCTGCCTAGGAGCTGTGCGATCCGATCTCGCCGTGGGCACTTGGGTATCGCGTGTCTGTAGTCAGATTTCTATTGGACTCCCCGAACTGCCCCCGTGTATAGTGAGAGGAGGAGGATGTCCACCTCTCGGGGATCTGAGGAGTGCACCAGGGATGTGTGTACATGTGTGTGTCTCTGTCTCAGCAAAGGCTGAGACATCCCTGGAAGGTCATCTTTGTCTACAGAGGCCCAGGAGGATGACCTCTAAGTCCGCTTCCAAATTCAGCAGGAAATGGAAGGAGAGGGATGGGTGGCATGCCCTGTGCCCACGACGGCACCGCCCGCCCACACTGCTGCGCACCCCGGGTCAGCTGGGAGATGAACTTCAGGGCAGTAGCTACCCACAGGACACATGGCATGGCCCCTGCCCTACGTTCTATTAACACAGAAGGAGTGGACGATGGGTACTGAGAGCAACATAACAGTGTCTTCCACAGAGGAGACGAAAAAATAAAAGAATCGCTGGAAACTGACGAGATATTTAGAAAGAAAAATAGGGGAGGGGATAGGGGTGCTTCTAGTTAAACCAGCATGAAGAGTTTAGTGATGTAAGACCAGAGAAATCATCGAAATAACTACTTCCTGGAGCTGTAACTCAAGCACAAGTGGACAATCAAGGGGGCACTATGTGCTCTTAACACACTGGTAGAGCTTTGCGTGTAGGGCCAGAGTCCGTGGCTTCTGTTCTACAGTCAAGCGTGTTGGTTTGACCAGAGGGGCTGGCCGTCAACATCAGCCGCGTCGGTACCGCACGGTCGGTACCGCACTGGGGACAAGAACTCATAGCCTTGCCATCTACAGTGACAAAGGCATGGGGAACAGTGAGGAAAACCCACGGATCTGCTGCAGAGAGGGTGTGCTCCCAGCCAGGGTAAGTGGCGAACTAACCAGAGAATAAACCAGGAGATTCTGGGAAGAGAAAGCCACGAACAGCCAAAGATAAGCTCTCCATGGTGCTGGCCAGCTGGGGACCTACACGTGTAGGCGGAAGAACCACGAACACCCAGCAAGAAGAGAAGGCCGAGAGAGGGCTGAGAACCAGCTATAACTCTGCAAACACTCCCAACCCACACACATTGATGGGCAGAAGCTGTTTGGTAGGAAAGTACCTGAGCATAAACATTTTGCCCATATCATTGGCTGATTCAGACACAGGAATGAGGCCCTAGGAAGCCAGGCTATGAGTAACAATTAAAACAAAATTCTGATTTTAGAGGCCTCAGCAGCAAAACACTACAGTGGAGAACATTTTCCACCATCGAAGTCTATGCAAATTGTCCAAAAAGAAGCAAACCTAACAACGTAAGTGTTTTCCGTGTAAAATTACAACACACGCAAAGAAACTGTGAACCATGCTCATAAATGAGGTAATCGACACAAACAGACTCTTGAGTGTAGCAAAAAACAGTAACTTTAGATAAAGGCAGAGCTAGAGCTTAAAGATAGAGCAATCGGATTTATCCAGAGGAACGGAAGGGGGGGAAGATCGACCCAAAAGGAATAGAGCCTTGGGGACCTATGAGAAAATGGCAGGTGTACCCTACACCAACGTATGTGTAATGGGACCCCCAAAAGGAGAAGAAAGACAGGGAAAGGGTAGAAGGTGAAACTGTGGTTGCCAGAGGGTGGGAGAAATGGGGTGTTGACACTGAACGGGTGGAGGGTTTCCATTTCACTAGAAGAAAGAGGTATGGAGATGGATAATAGTGAAGGTTGTACAATGTTATGAATGAATTTAATATCACTACAATGTCAGATGGAGGAGGGTTGTGGGGCTTGGGGAAAGAGGTGAAGGGAGTAAGAGAAAACAAATAAAAATAACAACACAAATACCTCACAGACATAGACACCGGTATGGTTATCACCAGAGGGAAAGGGGGTGGAGGGAGGTGAAGAGGGTAAATGGGGAATAAATGGTGATGGAAGGAGCTTTGACTTGGGGTGGAGAACACACAATATGATATACAAATGATGTATTGCAGAATAGTACACCTGACACCTATATACTTTTATTAACCAATGTCACCTGAATACATTCAACAAAAAATCAAAAAACTGGTTACGATGGTCAATTCTGTTATATGTCTATTTTACCATAATAAAAATATTTCTTTTTTGAAAAGGAGAGCTAGAATAGCTTCTTTGATAAGCAGGAATATAGAAAAAATGTGAATGATAAAATGATGGCTAGATAAGCAAGGAAAAACATAAAAGTGAGTCAGGAGTAGAGTGATATCAAGAAGCCTTAAACACAAATAATCAATAACTAGTAACAACATAAATGTTATATATAATTAAATTATAAATAAATGCAATATATATAATTAACCTATATATAATGAAATTATATATAATATATAAATATAAATATATATATGTTAACTTTATAACCAGAAGTTTGAAGCAAACGAGAGTATCATTTGCTAGGAAAGAATGCCGAATGCAGAATGCAGAACTATGAAACAGCTGTTTGCATCTGCCCCACCAAGGAGAATGACTGTCATCTGAAAAGCATGAAGCAAATATGGATAGTCAGGAAGTGACTCCTACAACAAGCAAGCACACCATCAGCGAGGACCTGCCTACTCTCTTGGAAATCAACTCAACTCTCCTGCACTCTGAAAAGGGTATCTTAAGATTCTTCCCCCAAACCCCCAGCATTAAACAATAAACAAAATCACAGTTGCTGCTGCTGAACTATTGTCAGTGGTCTCTAAGGACAGAGAGAAGATCATAGTTAGAATCCCATGGTACCCAAATGGTCCCCACACTGCATAGAAAGACCCCAGAAGCATTCGAGTTCTCAAGGCAAGCATCGTGACGTCTTGGATGCAGACAAACCTGAGCTCCGCGGCAGTTCACTGTTTTGACAAGAGAGAGCACCACCCTCCTTCCAGTAGCATCACGTCTGTGTGCAGCTGCGGGGGGGGCCGCAGCTGCTGGGATCAAGAGCAAGGCCCCTGTGAAGATGCAGGAGGAGCAGGGAAGAAAGTAGCTCCCTTCACAGGTGCCCCCCCAGTTAGCGCTTCCTTGAGCCCCACTTTCAATAGGTCGAGCCCCTCTGAGGGCAAGTATTCTGTCTGATTTCCTTTTCCACAAATTACCTCTGCTGATCCCGAGCTTCCAACTTTGCACCGTGTTTGGTAAGTTTTCCTAAACACAAACCTAAGACAGCAGCAGCAACAACCACAGAGAGTTGAAGGAGGATGTTCAATACTACAGATCACCATTTTTTCTTTTTCTTTATTGATTTGAGAGAGAGAGGAAGGAGAGGGAGAGAGAGATAGAAACATCGATGAGAGAGAACATCGATCGGCCACCTCCTGCACGTCCCTGAATGGGGATCGAGCCCACAACCTGGGCATGTGCCCTGACCGGGAATTGAACTGGCGACCTCCTGGTGCAGGGGTCGACGCTCAACCACTGAGCCACTCTGGCCACTGAGACACTCTGGCCGGCCAAGAGCACCATTTTAAAGAGGAAAATCACAATGACTATGTCCAGGGAAGAATAATTTGAAATATGAAAGTTTTTTTTTCTAATTATTCTAAATTGGAAGTGTTAGAAAGGACCAAGGATGTTGAGTGCAGAGAAGTAAAGGCGTAACATAAAGTATCCATGACCACTAAGAAAACAGTCCAGGTCCCCAGAGACCAGACCACCCAGTTTGCCTCAGGGGTAGTTCCTAGACAGTGTCTCAGAAACCAGACTGGGCAGCACTGCAACTGTTGCCGATATTTTCACACAAAATCCATGGCGGGACCCATCAAAAATCACTAAGATAGGGTTTGTTGTGTGTAAGCCTGACACCCAGGGCAAGGCACTGAAACTTATGTTGCATGCAGATCAATCAATTCTATAGCTGATCGATGCATAACAAATATTAATTAAATGTTCAATGAAAGCCAGATTTGTATTTAGACTCTATTTCTGCACAGGCGCTTATGATGGTCTTTTCTCAAGAGTGGCATAAGATCTACAGCAGCGGTTCTCAACTGTCTCCAGGCGGGTCCGCCCACATGCAGATGCGCCCACACACAATATGAGGACCTGTATCAAAGGGTCGGGCATCAGGAAGGTTGAGAACCCCTGATCTACAGGGTTGTACTTATGCCAAAATCCAGAGGTACCGATAAAACACAGGATACTGAAGATAAACTACACAGGTACAAAATCTGAATATGTCTTCATCATTAGCTATACCCTGCTTTTTACTCTCTCAAAATCCAGTAGCTTCCATGGACCCCGATATCCTCTTACTTATGTCTCCCTCCCTGAAACGTAGATCACACCGCCCAGACCTGCTTGTTCATTGTGACTGGTTTGGACTGTTGGCATTTCCTGGCACTGTGACTCATGGCCAGGACACACATTGCACAGCATGTGAGAGGGCCCCTTACCATCTGTCTCCTGCGGGCCTTTCTTGGGAACCCTGAAAAAGGCAAGGGTACATGGCCTTGAAGGAATATACAGAATTGATCGATAGCTTATGATGTTGGAGGAACACAGGTAAGTGTGTGGAATCATTTCAAGAAACCGAAAAATGGTGTTGAAAAGTCAACAGATACTTTTCTGTTGTCTTATATAACTTTGGCTTCCCAGAGTTAAAACTAGAAATGAGAGAGATGTCTAAACAATGAGTGCACGTGAAAATAGAAAGAAAAGAATTATCAAATACGGGAGTTAGTAATACGCTGTGATAAACAACGGCATGATCATCGCCACAATGTCAATAAACGACTAATCGTAGCAGAGTGCCCATAAAGTTTGTGGGATACAAGGACATACAATTCTTACGAAAGTACAAACCTTCCATTGGTTATAGAAAATTGCCTGGGAATGTTGTCGTATGGAGGGTTGACCCATCATTGGGCTTAACCAGGAATGCCCTTCATTCGGGGAAAACTAGGACTTTGGTTACCTTCTGAGTGATACTATTTCAACAAACCGTCATACGTTACCAACTACGTGATACCTCGGTTCTCGAATGCCTCGGTTTTCGACCAAATCGGTATTCGACCAGGAGATTCGAGAAACTTTTGTCTCGGAATCCGAACAAATATTTGGAACTCGAACTTCCGAGATGAGCCGAGTTGAGCCGAATGGCGTTCATTCGGCCCAGCGCGCCTTGCTCGCGTCATCAGTGTGAGTGCAGAGAGAGAGTCACGCTTTGTGGAGAGAGTCACGCTTTACACTGAATTTAACCCTTAGACATACTGTACACTTTTATTTCTTGTTGAGACTTATGTTTTTCTACATATTATATACAAATTAGGCCAGTAAATAGGCATTTTCTGGGGCTTGGAACGAATTAATCCAGTTTCCATTATTTCCTATTGGGTTTCATTGCTTCGGTTCTCGAACAATTTGGTTCTCGACCGTCCTCCTGGAACGAATTATGTTCGAGAACCGAGGTATCACTGTACTAATATAATCACATGACTTAAAGAAAAAGAATGCAAGTTTCATTGGGTGTAATTTTTTTTCTCTCATTTCTCACTTAAATCCCCCCCTCGCAGCAAGCCTTTCTGCTGGGTTCTTGGTGGAGAGAGGAAGCACGGACCCGCCCCCAGGGGAAGTTTCTGCAGACACCGGCGCCCGGCCCGAGGTCACTTACTTCTGCTGCAGCCCAGCAGATTGTGGACGTCCAAGTGGCTCGCACCGGGGACACACGCATCACACTTGGAGCCAGTGACAAATTGTTTACAGAAACACTGGCCCGTGACCATGTGACAGCTTTCATTCAAGGCTCCGGAGAGGTGACAACCACAAGGCTGACATCTGAAAACAAGAGAAATAAACCATCAAGACGGACGTTTTGATTAATGAGTCACGGGGTAAGTCTCACGCGTCTATTGGTACCATTGTGGAGTAACATGGTCTGCGTTGGCCAATAAGCTGCAAAGAGTCTGGAGTGAAACAAACCAATATGAAATAAAACAGAAAAAAAAAACCACAACTTGATCAAAATGCTGATTAGGATAAAACCTCTGTGAAGCCTTCTCTTTTAAACTAATTAATGGCAATAGGAAGCGTTTTTTTGTTTTTGTTTTTGTTTTTTTGTTTTGCTTTTTTACATGCCGCAAGACATGTTATGGATTATTTTGAATCCAGTTGTTCCATTAAGAATACTGTCAATTTTGCTCTCTCACTGAAGCAGTTTTCCTGACAGCTAAAAATGAAAACAAGATACCCCCCAAATTTTCAAGTGTCTAATAAGTTGTGAAATAGTAGACTGAATGTGATTATCATTGTTTTCCCTGAAACTTAAAATTCCACATTTGATTTTAGGAAGACTAAATGTCCCTAAGAAAAACAGTTTGGGGAAGACAGGTGCCAATATAGATGACGCCCTAATGAATGTTATATTTTCTTTTCTATTTTGTGCACTAAACTCACTTCTCCAGAATGGTTGGAGAACAGAGTATTATTCTGAGCTATGAAAAGATGCTAATTAGCCCTGGCCAGTTGGGCTCAGCGGTTAGAGATCTGGGCCCTGAACCAGAGGGTGGAGGGTGCGATTTCCGTCAAGGGCACAGTGGGAGAAACCAATCTGCGTGTCTCTCTCACATCGATGTTTCTCTCTCTCCCCCTCCGTCCCTCCCTTCCATTCGATCTAAAATGGAAAAATATCCTCAGGTGAGGATTAACAGAAAAACAAAGAAAAAAAAGATGCTAAGTATAAGTTTCTTGGAGCCAAAGTTGCTTATAAAAATCACTGTTGTGGTTTTCTGCCACAATAGAACCTGAAACCCATGTCTTCAAACTCTTCACCTGTGACAACGTCATTGACAAGTATGAGCAATGTGGTGCCAGAAAGTACCAGAGAAGAAAAACATTACTTATCAATAGACCACCCACATTTAACAGGGACCTTCCATCCAATACATTTGATAACAACAGTATGGATTCGCCTATATTTTCTAGTCAAGAGACTGGATGGATAGAGTTACTTTACCCACTGCAACTCGATGGTGTGATCTCTTGGGTAATCATTCAACACCCTTAAAAAGGCTGATAAAAGCAAAGGCTGCTAAATAAGCTGCAAATTTGTTTTATGGACTAATATCACCTAGGGAATCAATAAGGCACAGACAGTTCCTCTTGAAAACTGCTCTACTGTAGTTTGCCCTTTTTATGTCGTGGTAAAAGGACATTTTTCTCCTACAAACAACTCTAGCAAGTTCTTTATGTCCAGACCTTGCGTCAGAACTCGATTTGCAATAGATGTTTTGTTTAGGCTGCTCAAGTATTAGAAAATTATGCATTCAAATGAAACTGGGATTATAGAAGCAACAAAATATTGCGTCTGCCCTTCCTATCATTATACGCTGTTACTTAGTATATTGTTTGTAGGCTTTTTATGTCACATTGGTAAGAATACACAATGAGAGGCACGCTTCTCCCAACGTCTGTATTTATCACCACACTGCTCGTGAATAAGTATCTCTTGAGTAGTTCAGTTTTTATTATCATTCACTCATGAGACAATCACACCCGTTTTCTATACAGTACATTTAGAGGAACAGCTTCCAATGTACAGAATAATTCCTTCCTTGGTGCCACCCTATTTTCTGCCAGCTACACGCTTAACTCTAAGTCAGCTCCACCAATATCCACGGGGCACGCCGTTTGGAATCTAAATGGAATAAATAAACCGCTTCTTCAGAAAGGACGCAGTGTTTTGAGTAATTAAATGGGACTCTTCCCGATTTTATAGTCTCTTCTCCAAGCCAATGTTATATCTAACTTATCTGACTTGTTATAATTGCTTGACTTCAGTAAGAGGGAATTTTATCTGAACCAAGTTCACGGGAGACGTTCTGAATATTAGAGTTGATTTCTAGCCCAAAGGACACTGGGGATAATTTGGTAATTAAGGCTTAAGGAAAATGATTCCTGTAAATTTCTCACCCGCTCAAACATAATTTTAAACGTTTTCGCGACTCCTTAGCAAATAAGCTACAAGTTTGATGTTATAAGTTGCCGCTCCTCAAGACACCTCCTAAATGAAATAGATTTCACGTTTATTAAAACAGAATTATACATAATAAAGGAAAAGACATTTTAAGCTCCGAAAGAGAAACAGCAAACTGAGATGAATTGTGATATTGATCTTGTCAGGATAAATGGTTTCTGTAATATTAATATAAAGAAACCTTTATTGCATTGACTCTCCTGGTATAGCCAGGGCTCTCACACAATCTGTTTAAAATCTTCATTTTTCATCCTTATGGGAAAACCTCACTTGCTAAATGGATTTCATAAAGAGTAATCTGTCAAGATTTATATAGATAAACAATTTGTGATGTTTATTGACCAGTTCATTATGGTAAACAAAACAAGAGGAAAGTTCCGCTCATCTCTGCTATGATCGTCCTGCTCGGGCCCCGGTGTTTACTGGACATAATGGGAACGAAGTTAATTGGCCTCTGTCTCTTAAATCACAAATCTCATCTATTTTACTTCCCAGGGTGCGTCTTCCCGTTGCACAAACAGTAAGGGGAAGAGTCATCGGCTTCTTACCATTGCAGAAGCCTCACTATTAATGGAGGGAATGTGTTCCAATAATGCATTTCACCGGCGGGAGCTTCATCACCGACGAAGAGCTGCTTTAGGAGGTCCAGGGATACTTGCCAGGACATAGATCACTTTATGGGCATGGTTCTTTGGATGCCTCTCTTGTCTGGGGCCTCAACTCAGGGACACCACCAAAATGAGCTCCATGTATCGAATGATGTAAAAACACTTGTTGAGGGCCAATTATGTGCTGGGGTTGGAGTAACACTGGAGACACAACTATGAATAAGACAGGGTTGTCCCTGTCCTCAAGGAGTGTACAGTCTAGTGAGAAATAAAAAAATAAAAAAAAAATAGAAAGAGTATTAATAAAGATGTCTGTAGTCTCTCAGATGGCACTGGAAAGGGGCACCTATCTGGTCCGGGGGCAGGGGAACAGGGAATGGAGTATTAAGAAGGAATCTTGGAGATGTTTGCGCTGAATATTGAAATATGAATAAACCAGGCAAACTGGGGAGGGAGAAACTAGAAAAGAACAGCAGGAGAGAGCATCAAACTGTAAGAAGTTCAAGATTTGGGGATACGAGCTCGGAATAGGGAGTGGGTGGTGACAGATGAAGCCGGGAAGGTGAGGAGAGGTTAGACCTTGCTAACTTCGGGAGGATCATGACAGTGGTGAGGGGCGCTGGGAAGGAAGGGGTTCGATCTGTGAAATATGTAGTGAGTCAGATCAGTAGGATGAGGTGGACAAACTAACAAGAGAAGCAAAGGAGGGCCTAGGGTTACTCCCAGTTTTCTAATTTGCTGATGGATAGATGATAGGGACACCATTCAACACAAAGGACAGAGGAAGAAGAGACCTCAAATTACCGAGAAATCCTCGACAAGAATTATTAAGGATCATTCATGAAGAGAACCAAAGCACATTGGAGAAACTGGGCAAAGACTTTTCTTCCATCGCAGCCCAAGGACTAGCACACAGCAAGCGTTCAATACAGTTTGTTGAATAAAGGAAAATGTAGCTGTTTTGAGCCTTTTTTGATTGACATGTCTGTCCCCGTGGCCAACCTCTCTTCCAAGGAAGGGGGCGCTTTTCTTTAAGGGCTGGCTGTCTTCTCTGACTCTCAAAGGCCAGAGGAATTCTCAGCTGAGTCCTCTTGTAGAGGTATCGTGAGTGCCAGAGCGCCCCCTAGAGGACCTTGCTTTTCCCCTGGGTAAGATCTATTTCTCCAGTGGAGGTGCAGTCTCAGGCTACTGACGGCATCCAGATACTCTTGCAACTGGGATCGGAATTCTAGGAGAGGAATTTGGGGCTGAGAGACCCTCTCTGTGTGAGCCTAACGCCATTCACACGTGGCCCATGACTTGCTTTGGCCCGAAGCATAAGGCAAAAACAACCCTGCGGCCGTTCCAAGCCGAGGCCTCAAGTGTCCTTGCATGCCTCTGCTGTCTCTCTGGGGACTCTGCCGCCACCAGCCAGGGCTTCCTCCCATGTGGGCCCATGTACCCTGTCACCTACATCACAGCATGCTGTCCCGGAGTCCTTGAGGAGCATGAATCTGTGAGGCACCCTCCCCCCAACTGTCCCACGATCACACCACGAGAGGAAATACATTCACTCAAAAGTTATCTGCTTCCACGTGAAGTCACTGATCGGCTCCTCCGAGAAAAGCCCAATGGGCATCCGTTGGAAATACGCATAGGAAAAAACAACCGGACCCAATCCAGCACTCAGTGTTCAAATGGAGAAAGTTTGCAGTAAAACAAAATAAGCTGGTCACAGAGAAATGTTAGTTTATCGCACGTTTCAGAGGTCTAAGCCAGCCTAGACCAGCTCCCCAGTACTCGAGGAAAATCGTTCAAAATTACAGGCATATATCTGGCCATTGGAAGCTTGAAAATATAGATAGATAGATAGATAGATAGATAGATAGATAGATAGATAGATAGATATAGATGATAGATAGATAGATAGATAGATAGATAGATAGATAGATAGATAGATAGATAGATAGATATAAATAGCTAGATAGCCCGGCCGGTGTGGCTCATTGGTTGAGCGTCAACCCATGCACCAAGAAGTCACCGGTTCAATTCCCGGTCGGGGCACATGCCCAGGTTGTAGGACAAATCCCCACAGTGGGAGGCATGCAGGAGGCGGCTAATCAATATTCTCGCTCATCAATGCTTTTATCTCCCTCTCTCTTTTCCTCTCTCTCTAAAGTCAATAAAAAACAAAATTAAAAAAAAAATTAAATAAAAATAGAAAAGACAAACTACAACTAATGAATATAGACAGAAGTCAGTAGGGAGGAAACCTTTGGGGGTCGCGATATGTGGTGGTTCTTCAGGGAAAACAGTCCTAGGGGCTGTGGGAAGGAGGAACCTGGTCACAGGTGAACTTGGGGCCAGCGCCCGGGACAGCACTGTCGTATTCGGGTAATAACCACCACTGAGACGATGGGAAGGTGGCCTGTTTTTGTCTCGTTGTTTTTGGTGTAGACAAATACAATATACTTTTCTTTGCTTCGTTGATTGTGCAGGGGACAGACTTTTTTATTTTTTTGCCTCATTGTTTTCGATCCTGATCAAATCGTGTTCGCTTATGTGTCAGAGGTAAATGGAGTGATCTTTGCACTCAGATCGGCCTTCTGGAGTGCACGCCCCCCTGCCCCCCGACAGACAGGGCACCTCTGGAGCAGGGCTGCTGGGGCAGACACGGGCGCCTGTCTTCCAGCTCGTCCTTGCTGTGTTGGCACATTTTTGTTGTTGAGACGTTCAGGGGCGGAGCCGAAGGGCCTATACTTTCTTGTTTATGTGGCCCTTGAGAGTATGAAAAAAGGTTAAAAAAATAGCCAAGAGTAAAATATAGGAAACATAGCCGTCCACATGAAAGAGAACATGAAGAAGGGGAAGGGATAGGGGTAAACTTCGTGGAGGCATTAAATAAGACCCCCTGAAAATCTGCATGGAAAAAGCAGACGAGAAAGTCAATTTATTTTCTGAACTAATGAAGAGATACCATAATATTTGTATATTCTCCTTTCTTTTTTAAAAGAATTTTTTTTCTTTATTAATTTTAGAGAGAGAGGAAGGGAGAAGGAGAGAGAACATTGATTGGCCGCCTCCTGCATGCCCCCCAACTGGAGATCTGGCCCACAACCTGGGCATGTGTCCTGACCGTGAATCGAACCGGCGACCTCTGGGTGCATGGGTCGATGCTCAACCACTGAGCCACACAAGCCGGACTCTTCTTCTTTCTTAACAATAAAACACTTACGTTCTATTGCAGATATTTGGAAATTAACGAAATACATGTATTCTTGCAGGTGCTTGCCACAGTGCCCAGTGCAGGGTGTATTCAACTGATTTCACCTTTCTGTCTTTCTTCTTAAAAAAGAGTTTAACATCAGGACATAAATGCTTATTTTCCTACACTGCCTATCTGTATACATTTAGACAATAAGCGACTTGTTCTCTTCAGGACACAAAAATTCCTGATACTAGATGGAATCCCATATATTTTAGCCATCTTTGAACACATTTTCCAAATGGTCATTGTTAGTATATGTTCACAATAGCAACCAGAAGTCAACAAAGAGACTTCGATATCATTCAGGAAAGGAATGAAACTCATAAAAAGAACAAAATCCATTTTTATCTTTTCTCAACGATGAGCAAAAGTATAAACTCAAGCAATTCTCACTGTCACATTTGAAATATCTCCCTCTATGACCTTCCGTGCTAGCGGATTTCTTCTCTAGCGACTGCCCGCGTTAAGGCGGAGAGAGACAGCGGAATCCGTCAGCGGGACAGAGGGGTCAGCTCAGGGCACAGCCCTTCTGCACAACCGGTCTAACCAGGGACACATCCTCCTGGGTTCCCTGAGCCCCCTATGGTCATGGGCGGTTTTATTCTTTCTATTATTTTCAGAGGAGCTACATCATCGGTGGTGGCTTTCTATAGCGGCCGCCTCTGCTGAGTGTCAGAGCCAACCTTGCCCAGTCTGAGGACACTTGGACTCACAAGTGCATGGTGTGGACATGGACGGTTATTTTAAGGTTCATGTCTCTTTTAGCAAGATTATGACCACCTGAGATGGCACGAAACTTTTCATTTCTATTTTTGTAGGAGGTAAGGAAAGTAATGTAAAAAATTGGTTCTGTGTTGGTTCTATGAAGAATGGAAGGTGCCCTGCTGGTGTGGCTCAGTGGTCGAGTGTCGACCCTGCACCAAAAGGTCCCTGGTTCAATTCCCGGTCAGGGCACATGCCCAGGTTGTGGGCCCGATCCCCAGTGGGGGGCATGCAGGAGGCAGCCAATCAATGTTCTCTCTCATCGATGTTTCTCTCTCTCTCTCCTTCTCCCTTTCTCTCTCTGTAAAGTCAATAAAAGAAAAAAATAAAAACAAAAACAAAGAGTGGGAGGCAAGAGAGGCATTTACATGTAAAACTCAGGGAGACACTAACTGCCTAGCTACCTAGAGTCCCTGGTGGAGATCTTAATAGATAGCAACATATCTGAGAGTCATTAGCATGCATGCATTGAGTTAAATCATAGACCTAGATATGTACATTGAAGTGGCAGAATAAAGAGTAGGAGTCAGCAAAAGAGATAGATAAACAAATAACTGAAGTAAGATCTAAGAAGCCAAAGAAAGAGATACTTTTAAGAAGTAGGGAGGACAATGAAGTAATTGGCACGTGGAAAAACCATGAGTCATAACAAGCAACCATAAATTAACTTCCTTTCATCTTTCACCGATCCTTTAAATATACTGCACAGGGCAAGGCCCCTGCTTGAAACCTGGATATGTAGTAGATCAGGTATAAAACTTTTATGGTCTTTCTTTTTTTTTTTTTAATCCTCACACAAGGATATTTTTCCATTTATTTTCAGAGTCGGAGGGAGAGAGAAAGAGAAACATCAATGTGAGAGAGACAAATTGATTGGGTGCCTCCCACATTACCCCAACCAGGGCTGGAGACCAAACTGCAACTGAGGTATGTGCCCTTGACCAGAACTAAACTCGAGACTCTTTGGTCCCCAGGCCGACGTTCTAACCACTGAGAAAACCGGTCAGGGCATCTGGTCTTTCTTAAGTTATAGAAGGTCCTAGAGTTATTTTAAGTTGCAAAGCACAGGTTCAACAAGAAGAACAAAACTCGGGGCATCACGCTTCTTGATTTTGAAATATATTACAAAACTATAGTAAAGAAAACAGTGTGGCACAGGGTAAGGAAGAATGTGTAATTCTCACAACCAGATGAGGACCACAAGGAAGAGAGACACATGGTGTCACCTTAGCACTGGTACAAAGGGTGACCCAGACATCTCAAGGAGCCTGAACAGAGAAAATGCTGAGACTCCTGTGGTTTGCCAAGTGAATTAGCAACCAACTGAAAAAGAGATGCACCTGACTACACTAAAACTGTAGGTGGGAGTTCCTGAGGGGAAAGAGCAGTGAAGAAATCATGAAAGTACCAATCCCACTGAAAAGTCAGCTCCGTCCATGTGCGAGACCAGCGACCGCAGCCTGCTTGGGACTGTGTTAGTCCAGTGAATCTCTCCACCTCCTCCAGCCTGTGCCCGAGAGAAGAGGAGCCTACGACAAAGAGCGGGGATGCTCTCGGGTACTGGATCTTATAGTCACAAAGCCAGGAAGGGGTGACGGTGCTCTTGGACCAACAGGACGATAAAGCAGCGGTCACCGAAGGGAAGCAGCGTGGGTGCAATAGCCATATGTAATAAGAGCAAGAAAGGGTTTGAATAAACATCCTAAATATCACGGTAAAGTGGTTTTTAATCACATTGACTTTTAGTCGAAAGCCAAATAAACTGGCTGAAATTCTTTTTCAAGCATTTAAACTATCGCCCTGTGCACATGCCAATTGAGGTGTTACTGAAGAGTGTGAGGGACGAGGCAGACAGCGTGGGGACAGGGTGTTGAAAGAGTCCAATAATCTCAAACCCTTGAATAATTAGCAAGTATAGTCATGAACACACGTGCGCACCCCCCCCCCCACCCGAAACAGATTTGCTTGGTTTATGGAAAACACAATCCTAGATGCTTGGAGACAGGAACATGGAAGAATTAGTGGATATAGCCCCCACCCTAGACAAATTTATAATATAACCTGGGAATAAAAATAACCTCATATGGAATCATCATTCCAGCTCATCTTCAAAAAAATAGAGCAATGAACACAGGTGCATGGAAGGAAATGCCCGCAGATGTCTAGGGAAGGAGAGGAACATAAAGACAGTGTAACTTTGAAAAGCAATGAAATTATTTTCCGAATGTACGTTATACACTGGGGGGAAATCATGTCACTGAATATGAAGATATGTTTCTTATCTGCCAGTCTTTAAATCTAAATTAGAAAGGCAGGGGCAACATACATGGATGCACAAAATTAATAAATACACAATAAATTCGGGGCCACGTAAAACAAGATACAGATATACATATGCTAGCTATCCTAGCCCTTACATTGTGTGTGTGTGTGGGGGGGGGGAAGGGGAGGTTGTTTTCTTCCAGGAATATTTCTTCACCTGTCTTTTTCCACATTCAAATTGTAAGTTCTTTGAGGGAAAAAGATTTTATCAAGTTAAATATTCCCAGGCCCTAATATTGGGTCTCTCTATCAATGTATAGCAATGCATACGTTAGAACTCTAGGAAATACGGCAAGATTACCATCATGTTTAACAAAATGCAGGCATCAAAGAGTTAAAATATATCAACCAGCTAAGGAGGGGAGAAAATATTGCATTTTACAAAAGAACCTGCCAAAAAAGTGCCTGTTGGTTAAAAATAAAAGGTCATTGCGACTATAATTATTTAATTATGCACCCCTAGAAATAGTCACCTTCCAGTCTGAGGGTCAAATCCGAAGTGACGGTCCTCACAGTGGTCGCAGCTCAGCCCGGCAGTGGACGCGTCTCGGCACACGCACTGCCCAGTCCGGCCGTTACAGATGTGATGGTCTGCGACAGCTGCGTGGCACGAGCATGGAAGGCAGCCAGCGGCATGGCCTGGAGAGAGATAAAAACCTGGAATAAAACAATAAAAGAGATTTTATATATGCTTCCTATCCAGTCTTGTCTTTAAAAGATAGTATTTCGATTACATCAAAACACAGAGCACTTCATAGGGGCCACTAAACCAAATCCCAAAACAGAGGGGCCCATAGCTGTTCTTAACTCGGTGTCAATTACCACCCGAGAAAGGCTGAGTCAATCATTTGCCTTGTACCTGGTGTCTCCCAGGCCCCTAAAATTTCGTGCATTTAAAACCGACTTCATGATCTTCCCACTAAAAATGGTTCTTCCTCGAGTCATCTTCATTTTAACAAGTAGCATCACCGTGTCTACGGATGCCCGACCTCGAAGCCGGAAACATCCTTGCCAGGTAAAATACAAGATGCCCGGTTAAATTTGAATTTCTAATTAATAATGATTTTTTAAATGAAAGTATGTCTCATCTGATATTTGCTTATATTAAAAATTATCTAAAATTAAAATTTAGCCCGGCCAGTGTGGCTCAGTGGTGGAGCATTGACCCCTGCACCAAGAGGTCACCGGTTCAATTCCCAGTCAGGGCACATGCCCAGGATGTGGGCTCAATCCCCAGTGGGGGGCATGCAGGAGGCAGCCAATCAATGTTCTCTCTCGTTGATGTTTCTATCTTTCTCTCCCTCCTCCTTCCTTTCTCTGTAAAATCAATAAAGAAAAAAAATTTAATTAAATTTTAAATGAGCATCCTTTATTTTGCTAAAACTGGCAATGTTTGAGTCCTTCCCTTCCCCCGTGCTCCATGTAGCTAATCACCAAGTCAAGGGATATTATCTTTTAAGAATTTAATCTACTCTCCATCCCTGCTGCCACCAAGTTAAAGTCACCACCAAGTGTTTCATAGTTAACACGATGTACCGGAGACTATCATAAGCCGCAATGCTAATAATTCAGGTATTATTATTATTGTTGTTGTTACTTTGTTTGCTATATAAATTAGACAACCGAAGATCAGAAAGAATAACCCACTTTTGTGAAATGATAGGTGACAAACAGCGGAACCGGGATTCAAACACGGGCCCCTCAAGCAGAGGCTTCTCTCGTCCAACGTATCGTATTGTCCCCTTCGACCTGCTCTTTAGTGCAGCTGGAACCGTCGTTTTCAAAGCATGATTCCACCCTCTCATTCTTCTCTTTAACATTGTTCGCTGACTCCCTGTTTCCTGAGGAAGAACCCTGAGGTCTCTGATGCAGCCGTCAGCCTTCTATCAGGCCCCCCCGTCTCCCCAGCTTCAGGTGCTGCTCATCCCAACTCAGCCTGCCCCAGGCTTTCTCTTCTCGATACCGAAGGCCTCTTCCTGTGCAGGTCTGTCTGCTGAGATGACCCTGAGCCCCCTTCTCCGTTCCGCTCACCCACACACAACGGGTCCTGTGAATTCCGGGAGGAACCTCACCGAGTCCAGTTGAGCCATGCCTTAGATGGTTCTGTCCCATCCTGTTTACTTCCTTTAGAGTCTCGTGAACTTATAACCTCATTTCCACCAGACTGTAACCTCCATGAAGGCAGGTAGCCCATCTGATGAAGTCATCACTGTCTCCCCGGCATCAGTACAGTGCTCGTCCAAAGTAGACACTCTGTAAGCCTTTGATGAATGCCCAAAAAGGTACCAAATTATGAAATAGGCACTGATTCCCACAAATACCCTATTTTTTAAAATCCTCAAATTTAAATTAATTATAAACCCATTATAATTTTTTTTTCTGTATTGATTTTTTTTTTTTTTTTGAGAGAGAGAGAGAGGAAGTGAAAGGGAGAGAGATAGAAACATCGATGAGAGAGAACATCCATCGGCCGCCTCCTGCACGCCCCCCACTGGGGATCGGGCCCACAACCTGGGCATGTGCCTGACCAGGAATTGAACCAGTGACCTCTTGGTGTATGGGTTGAAGCTCAACCACTGAGCCACACCAGCCAGACTAAACCCATTTTTTTATTACAGCAAAAAGAAAGAAATTAAAATATGATTCAACAATATTTTCAAGTTATTTGAAATTTCTTAGACCTAGAAGGTAGAAGTCAACAGTTATAAAACTAAAAAGGAATTGGGCATTCGAACGACGCAGCAGGCAAATGAGAGAGAAATCCTTCTTGGGGTTGACACGTGTGTACTTAAATACATATGAACATACACATACACACACACACAAGCACAATGCATAATGCTAAGAAATTCTAATAAAAATGGGGGAGAGGGATTCTGATGAATAAAGTTCTAGCAAACGAAAATGAATTGTACAGTGGTGGTCACATGTCTAAACATATAAAATATCAGTGATTCTGAAAGAGAGAAAGAAGTGAACACTAAGCAAATCCACACTGAGTCATCTGTTCTCTAAGGAGAAGCCCGTGGTAACTGCAACACTAGGAGACTCATTTGAGGCTTTTGTTGAAAACAAACCCTTCTTTCACAACCATCACCAACATGTTCGTATATCTTCTCTTACGCCCTGCGTAGTCTGTCTTGAAAAGCTTCCGGGAATAGTAAGGTAGAAAAGATGGTACTCAATGAGGAAAAAAAAAAAAGCAACTCAAAATCTGTACCAGTCAGTTGGGAAGACCGAGTACTGTCACTTTTATTATAATTTACCACTAGACTATGTCATTTGCTTCTTTGTATCCATTGACCACAATTTGCTGTATAGGATATAAAGTAGCATATGGCCATGCCAATCAATGTATACTCTCCCACCTGATTCATTATGGGATCAAAGTCACCAGTTTAGGAGACTTCTATTTTGGATTCAAGATCACTGCGGCTGTGATTCTATGTATTTTTCTTCTTGTGAAGATACCTAGGTCCTTAAATCCATGATGATAGCATCGTGAATGTTCTAACAGTTCTCCAACTTGGATAAATTATACATTTAGAACAGATACTTAGAAGTAGAATTAATTTTGACGTATTGTAACCGCTTTGAGCTACAGAGAATTCTAGAACAATGAAGGATACTTTTTTTTTTTTTTTTTTTTTTTACAAGAAATGATTTATTGGATAACTCTGGGAGGACAAGGAGGATACATTTGGGTGCAGAAGACTGGGTTGCCCAAGTGTTGGAGAATAAAGAGTGCCATAGGAAAAAAATAGAGATAACAAGTAGAGAAGAACCAAAAAAAAAAAAAAAAAAAAAAGGTGTTCAAACACCCAGGGAGGCTGCGGCCTCGAGGTACAGCTTTAAGGAAGAGAATACACTGGAATTTGTCCGGGGTTAATTTCCCTCATCCTCTCTGGAGCGTGATTATAAAGGTTAATCCCACCAGTATTTGAGTTGTCCTATTTTTAAGCAGTTCTAATTAGGATGACTCAGGTACCTTCCTGTTCAATGATTACCTCTTGCCTTACCTGAATGTGCCTAATTGTAGACCATTACCTTCCCTTTTATGGCTTCCAACTATAGAAAACCACCTTTTCCTTTCCCACCTCCTGAAGCTTCAACTCCTGAGTGCGGCTTCAAGACAGCTGACCTTAATTTCTTTTCTTTAAGTCAACGCATTTCGGGTCTCCTTCCATGAGCTCCATTTCATGCTCCCCACCTTTCTATCTGTCCCATTGGCTCTTTTTGTGATTTCTTTCCACGAATCATCTTGTACCACGTACTCAAACGCAGCGCAGCCATTAGGACGGCGCCAGCCCCTTATCTGATGTAGTGCTGAAGATTTGCGTGTCTATGGCACAGATCAGCCCCTTCGTGTTTATGACTGTCCCTGGTTTTATTGCAGCAAACCCCTGGTCCCAAGCAGGACAAGTCTCCTGTGGCAAACAATGTGTTTTGCAGCTAAAGCAAAAAAGTCACCCGTATCATAAAACAGCATTGCTTTATCTTGGAGAAGCTTCACAGAATCCTGAGAGTTCAGGGTTATTAGCAAGGCAGCCGGTATTATCTCCTGTCGTGGCTATTTGTACAACACAGTACCTGTCTTGGGCATAAAAGAAGAGGCCATTTCCTAGCAATGTCCCTCCCGAGGACCATGAACAACTAGGCTTTCCCCGGGTCTTAGTGGGAGAAAAAAACAAGTTTAACCCGGGGCCTTATTCAGAAAAGAGGGCAGTGCCGAGGCTTAGCACTAATTGGGAGCCATTTAGGAGAAACCACTCTCTGCATCAGCCAGAGAATGGACATGATGATGTTAAGCGAGGAGTCGAGGGAGGAATTTGTGGCTCACCTATATCAGGTAACAAAAGACTATCTTCGAATGGTTTTACAAATCAATAGTTTCAGAATACAGTGCAGTAGATGACGCTAGTCTTCAAATCAAGACGGTAATAGTTTTCCTCCATTTGGTAGTTGTATATGAAGAGAATGCTAAAGTTATTATTCATAGATTTGACCAAACATCAATAAACGCATACATACATGTTAATATCATTCACTCCAAGGTCTAATTTATCTTATTTAAAAGGCTTTCCTGCCCTGGCCGGTTTGGCTCAGCGGTTAGAGCGTTGGCCTGCGGTCCGGAGAGACCCGGGTTCGGTTCCCGCTAAGGGCACGTACTTCAGTTGCAGTTTGTCCCCGGCCCTGGTTGGTCGTGCGGGTGGCAGCCACTCGATCTGTCCCTTTCACGTCGATGTTTCTCTCTCTCTCTCTCTTCCTCTCTCTCCCTCCCACTCTATCTGTACAAAAAATGGAGAAATATCCTCGGGTGAGGATAAAATAAAATAAAAGGCTTTCCCAGCCTGGCTGGTGTGGCTCAGTGGAGTGATCTTAGTTCCATGGACTGAGAGGTCCCGGATCCATTCTGGGTCAGGGCACATGCCTGGGTTTGGGGCTTGATCTCCAGTAGGGGGTGTGCAGGAGGCAGCCGATCGAGGTTTCTCTCTCATTGATGTTTCTATCTCTCTCTCCCATCCTCTCTCTCTAAAAAAAAATTATTAAAAACATTTTAAAAAGATTTTCCTAAACTCTTTCTTAATTAGTTTAAATATGCTTTTAAAAGTCTGCATTTCTTTTTCTTCTTCCTGGACTGTTATACTCACCTTGAG